GCTAAAAGTCAAAAGAAATTAAAGCATTAATTTAACGCCAGCTTTGCTTAGCTTTTGTGCTGCTCTGGTAATTGTTACCTTAGTACCTTTAATAGCCAGCTGAGTGTGCGTGGAGTGTGTGTGTGTTGTGTTGTGTGCACACACAATGCACTCGAGGAAGTTGTGCTATTGTTGGCCATCATTAAAAGACAATTTGGAATCGGGCAAACTCCAATTTAAACCCAAACTCCAGGGCCTACCTACGAAAAGCGAAAGTGTTTGCCATATCCATTGCACTTTATGCGTTCTATGGCCGGCGTTTCTCTCCCATGGGCAGCCAGTGGAAATGGAGATTGATTAAAAGATTTACAACGGCCGACGATGATGCATTTCCCTTGACCATTTTCCTACAATAAAGCGACTGCTGCTGCTGCTGCTGCTGCTGGCCCCTTGAGGCCGCCGTTAATGCCTTAATAATATGATAAACTGGCTTAGCCGAAAAAAGAGATTAATTTCCGAGACATTTCCCAGGGAAAGCCAAGACGCCAGGGCAAGTGAGTTGTTAGCCCAAGCTAAACGTGGCATGTGGCAAGGGGAATTTTGAATGCTAAACGCTGGATGGATGGATGGACAGATGGATAGATGGATAGATGGATGGTTTCCAGAGCAGGGAGCAGAGAGTAGCCGCTCACCTTTCTGACCGAAAGTCGTTTTTTGATGGCTTTCAGCTCACCGGCGTGTGTTTGTCTTCCTCAACTGCTGCTCTGGTAGATAGTTTTTGGCTTCGGTTGTTTGCAGTGCACGTTTTCCTAATTGCTCTACTTAATCTCCGCTTTTAAGACTTTTTGGTGGTCAGTCAATGGCCCGCACAGAGAAAACTAAATACTATTCATATGTGAAAATATATACACAGGCAACTTAAACTCCCTTGTTGTCTGCAATTTTCAGTGGAGATAGGTTTAAGTGAAAGATGAAAGAAATCAGTTTGCAGTTTAAGCGATTGAAAAGGTCATTGAACATGGATGGGAAAGGGTTTTTAGATGCACAAACTGTAGGAAAATATATTTCATACACATAACTATTGTCAATAGGTCAGCAAAACAATTTAAAACCCATCTTATAACTTGAAAAGTAAATCTATAAATATTTTGAAAAACTTTCAAGACTTAATGTCCATTATGATGTGGCAGGTAACACGGATTATGTTTTCCCCATTGAGGCATTAAGCGGCTTAATTGACCATAACACCTCCTTTGTTGAAAGCTTTCGCTTCCTGGAGCATTAATGCTATCTCTGAGTCCTGTGCCCCTCAGTTTCTCACGATCGTAAAGTGGTCTCTTACCACCTGTAACTCGGTAGTTGCGCCGCAAAGAGTTTGAGCCATAAAACTTTATGTATACATATATTGTATTGTATAGATTTTAATTAATGAAAGTTTAAACCATAAATATGGCCAGGAAAATGCATTTCCGAATGTCACAGATACTACGGTTTCGTGCTTAACCAAAATTTCCATATGTTGGACACGTAGTAACCATCATTGATGGCAATTATGCAGGGCTGGCCTCCTTGGCAGCCGGAAATTTCACTTTGTGCAGTGAAATTATTTATTGGCTTAAATATTCGCAGTATGTATGTGCCGAGTGTCGAGTGTCGATGCCTGGTTTATAATCATTAAGGTTTTGCCACGTCACTTCAATTGTCAGTTGCCGCTGATGTGGTGCCACCGCTGCCCACGTTCAGATACTTGGATACTTGGTTACTCTACGGGTACTTTGCTGCACTCCGTCGTCCCTGAGAGGGACTCCAGTGTGATGTTTTAACTAGTCGAGGGGGCAACACCATGGGAATGGGAAGAGAGGGGAATGCTGGTCGTGGGTGGAGGAGGTTGGTGCTGAGGAAGCCACGGCGATGGTATGAGGAGCAGACTCTGACTTCGATGAGATTAGACACACACACGCAATGACAGTGGTTGAAATTCATTAAATATAAACTATAAATAATAACTTTCATTAACAAATGAAACCTTTCATCATCAATTCACCCAGGAAACCGTATATAAATATATTTTAATGTGCAATAGAGAAAGCCCAAAGGCCCCTTGACTTACGATTTAATGTATTTAGTGTCTAAGAGCGCGCCAGAAAGGTAAAAGTTATTTCTTCAGAAATGTGTGCAAATTTATTATCATAAAATACCCAGGGGCTCATATTTTATACCACTGTACGTACTCAACACTATGTGAGAGTGAGTGTCGGCAAATGTGTGTATGGTCCGTGTCCGTGTGCTCGAGTCAGTTCCATTGCACTTCTTCTCCTGGTGGAATATCAGGCGACACTTGACTATTAAGCAAGAGATGGCCAGAGTGGAGACGGAGATGGAGATGGAGATGGAGGAGATGCTGCAGAGATGCTGCAGAGATGAAGGAGACGACGAGTACACGGAGCCCTCCTATTTTTAACCGCATGGAGTGGGCTTGTGGCCCACAGTTTCCATTCCAGGCCATGCGCCCTCCTACCAGATTTTTATTTCAATCCTGCTATATGCTAGTGTTGCCAATTGTTGGGACAGAAACTAATATTTGAAATATGAATATTTAAATAACTATGATAATTAAATCTTTATTGAACACTTTAAAAGACATATATTCTTACCTTAGCGGTATGCTTAAGATATAGCAGGAGTCTAGGTTATATATAGGGGGTTTATATGGTCAGAAATAGTCATGGAACCATCTTCCATCATCCAAAAAAATCTATAAAAATTAACAAGAGAATGAAAACTTCAACAGAAAACCCTCTAAACTGTCACCACTGTTGGCAAGTGCATTAGGCCTAGGCTTTTACACTTACTTTACCGTCAAAAGGGAGAAGTAGGAGGGTAGTATTGCCCCTAGAAAAAAAGGGGGCAAGTGGCATGGTGGTGTCAGGTTGCCGCATGCACTTCGTCACACACACACACACATCTCAGTGGGTCGACAGTCCCACGACCCACCAGCAGCAGCAGCAACAACAATATCCAACTTGCAACTGCAACACTGTGGCAAAATGCGACTGCAACGACGGCCAGTCAACTTTTGGCTCGGCTAAACAAAAGTGTCTTCGCGCAGCTAAAAATAAGCACTGTTTTGACCCAACAACTTCCCCCTCCGTGACGTTGCCTCGGTGCCTCGATTCCATGGCAACATGGAACATGGCTACATGGCCCGATCCTCTTAGTCGTCGCTGGCTAGCGCTTCCTGTTCTGTGTGTGCAAATCTGTGCCAAATGTTTTCCAAGAAAACGAAGTATGCAAATACATTTTGCATTTAAATTCTTGTTGCCGCAAATGCAAGCAATAGCGAAACCGGCAAAAGGGGCGGCCTCATTAGTAGCAAGACACTTGAAATTAGAGTTTAGAGTTTACTGCTGCTGCTGGCCTGGTCTGGCCTGGCCTGCTGGTTTCTTCGTTTCGGAGATGATGAAAGTGATTTATGTCCGGCAGTGGCACTGCCTCCTCCCAGCACTTCTCCCAGCTCTCCTCCTTGGAGACTCCATGAGACCTGATGTCTGGCAGCCTCATCATCGTTGGGAAAGAAGACCGTAGGTTGCAGATGCCGATTGAAATGCCTACGCTAATTTTGGTTTGTATGTTACAATACCCTGAAATTAAAGGGGGGAACAGAGCTAGACTATAGTAAAACAGCGGAGATTTTATGATGCTTTTTGCAAAGTCAAACTCTAGTCGACTGATTTAATTCACATAAATCTAAACCAAATACAAGGCATGATCTATAGTATACAATTGTTTATATTTTGAGAATGGTCTTTCGGTCGGAAGCCTAAAAAGAAAGGAAGGAGTCATTTCCGACCCTATAAATTATATATATTCTTGATCAGCATCAACAGCCGGATCAATCTAGCTATGTCCAACAAAAATTCAATTTTTTAAGAATTTTCGAAATTTTATAAGGGGTTAAATCATTAAAATTCTCAAAATTTGAAAAATTTTTACTTTTCTAAAATTTTTAATTGAGTATGCAGATTTATTAATCCAATAAAAACTAACATTGGATTGCTTTCCGAATTAAAATTAATTTTTGGCTTAGTAATGAGTATTTTAAACTTTGATAAACTACTGAATATCGGCCAGGTTATATACTAGGATGTAGTAATCCCCAGTTGTAAATTTTAGCTGCATTATTTAAATTTGTTAATGTTGGAAAGCCAAAGAGCAAATTTTTCCCCATCTTGGTAAAAACCAGGAGCTAAAAGGCACCGAAATTCTTAATCAGTAACTAATAACATGTTTTCTAAACATACTAAACAGAGCTGTTAAACCAAGTACAGGGTATCTTAGCTTCTAGCCAAGAAATCTGAAAGCGAAAAGCTAAAGAAGAAAGACAACCAACTAAATCTTTAAAGAAATAGAAAAAGAAGCTGAAGAAAGAAACAATTGCATTTGGAGAACCCTGAAACGCACTAGACCTGAACTTTTATTTGTTGCTTTTTCTAGTTTTTTATCTCTCTACTTTTTTTTTTAGTTTTTTTGCAATGGCAGGGCATAACTGAAGCATATCTGCGCACACTTCTCGCTGGTGCTGCACACACACACACACACATGAAATAAATGCAAAATGTTAATCCCGCAAGTGTTTAAGACCGGCTTAAGTATATGTTTTATTTGCGCTTGAGTTATTTTAACAACTTTTTGTGACCTACAAGCACAAGTTGGCGGCCGGTATTCACCACGAGTTGAGTTCTGGCCAAGAGCGGATGAGAGAGTGCCCCAAAGAGAGGGCTCCAAACTCCAATCAGCTGAGGTTTGTTTTTGTTTTGGTACGAGCGCCACATGGCTGCCCACTCTCTGGGTCTCTCTGTCTCTCTCCCTCTCTCCCTGTGAGCTTTAAGTGAGTTGGGTTTCGCTCGTTGCTTTTGGATCGATAAAACATATCGCCGCCTCTGCCGCCGCCGTGGTATAAAATGCTTTTCACTTTTCCAAATGCACTTTAGTCGCCAGACTTTTATCGAAACGTGCACATCTCCAGCGGCCAGTTGTTGTTGTTGCGCGCCTACACAAAGCATTTCCGCAGAATATATATATATACACACACAAATCCTTTGTATATCCTTCGAGTCGAAAATTAATCATCGCGAGTGAAAATCAAAGTTTTTCTGGGCTTTCTTTGTGAGTGTAAAGTGCTGGTTGGGCAGATGGAAAAGTGCTGCAGGGATGCTAGATGCCAGATGAGGTCCTCCTGGCTTACCTAACTCCTGGAATTTTCTCTCAGGACTCACTCTCTCTGTGCAGCTCTCTTTTGCTTGCGCGCTCTATCTCTCTCTCGCTCTCGTGGGATGCTGCTCCTTGCACAAGGCAAAAGTTTTTGCGTTTGTATTGATTTTACGCACATGCAGGCAGCAGGAGCAGCAGCATCCCACGTTGCGATGACTCATCATCCAGCATCCATTCGTCCTGCAGCAGTTTTCCATCGTGTTTCTAATCTCTCCGCCTCTTACCACTTTCCACGTTTCCTTTGGCCCCGCGTGCGCTTAGATTTTTCCAGTGCGAAAAGTAAAGCAATTGCATCCATCCAACGCTGAGATTATCCTTTTGCCAGCCACCCAACAAAAACAAACAGAAATGGCCGCCTACGCCGCATTCAAACACGTTGAACTTTACAACGTTGGCAAGGCCAAAAAGAGGTAAGAAAACGAGCCAAGAAAATGGGAAAATATGAAAATGTGGAGCGAAAAGTTTCAAGTAGTTTTCTTATTTTTCTTTGTGCTTAAAGAAATTAAATATAAAGCAAAAAAAATGACATTGAGTTCTGAAGAATACATGTCTATGTTAAGACAATGTTTTATTTTTTCAACTAATAAATAAATTATCACAATTAAGGAAATTTATAAGTGACTTTGGAGAACATACAATGCAAAATAATAATAATAATAATAAAATATTATAAAAGTACTAAAGTGCCTTAATTGTATTGTAAAAGATTATATTTTTTCTTGTTAAACAAAAGTTATACTAATGCCAACCTTTTGATGTTTTATTATGACGAATCTAAAGCGGAAATAACCCAATTTTTCTGAGATAATGACAGGCAAAGGGTTATTAAACTCGTCACCCAAAAAATAAACACATATAAATTTCTTTGTAATCTCTCCTTGAGTCATTTTTCCTAAGTTTGATAATAAAATATAAAAACAAAAGTTATAGTCTTTTGTTTTTATATTTTATTATCACACTTGCAGTTCTTGCTAAGTGTTTAATAATAAATTACATAATTTAATAATTACTGTTTCGTGATTAAGTGTATATTCAAGCAACTGTAAGATATTACTTCTTCGCAGCGTTCGCTTTTCATTATTATTACTCAACACCTCCGACAACCGCATCGGGTTTCCTCTTAAAGTTGATCATCTGTTACATGGCATTGCATATTTTATGATTGTTTTTGCCACCAGTACCACCGCTCGAGTGAACTTTGATTGGCAAACATTTGGTAAAGGGCGGCTCCATCGTCCTCAGTGCCTTAAAATCCCCATGAGCAACACAACGTCTTCATCTTCATATTTATCCCATTGTTTGAGCCATCAAACCGCACACAAACACAGTCACTCTTACGTATACGTACTTGCATATTCATTCCGCTGTTTGTGTGGAGATTAATTTAGCGTGCATTCACCCCGCCGGCTGACTGACTGACTAACTAATACGACCAATACACTAGCGTGTGCACGGGGCGTATGTGTAATCTGGGGAGCAACACTTTTGCAAGCGCCTACTTCCCACAGAAACCAAAGCACCTAGCCAACTAACCAAGTAGCCAACGAAGCCACCTAGCCACCTTGCCACCAAGCCACCCAGCAAGTGAGCCCCGTTGGTGGCATGTCTTTGGATGTTTCATTGATTTTCCTTTTGCCAACTACGGCCAACGGCCAACAACGGAACCACCCAAAAAAAAAAACCCCTCACAACCGACCCACTCGAGAGCGATGCCACCACACAAAAGCCAAAGGGACGGTGTTCTTTGGGAATACCCTTGGTTACTCATGGGGTATGCATGGATATCGTTAAACCAGCTAAAACAATAGTCAATTTGCATAGATTAGAAGGTGTTTCTGGGATAGTAGATTACTCCAACTCTATCTTAATCTTTGAGATAGGAATAAATACATTTCCATTGAAGTTTATATGCATTCATTTCGCTTTTAAAACGTCTTAAACTTATTTTATTGGCCAAAGGAAAATGCATTAATGTTTCCAACTTTAATTTCCCCATTTAAAATCCACTTCAAAAGAGTTGTAAACTTAGATTTCCTCAGGTTTATTTGAGTTTTAATGGTCAGTAATTTATTTTATTTAAATGACTTCATAAAAACATTTTACTTTCCTTCAAGAAATTGCTCAAATCAAGTAAATTTCAACTGCATTGAGACATAACAAGCCTTGAGAGTGTATTATGCAAGTATAATGAAATGTTTATTATTTAATATTCAACCGCAATCATGTTTTTCCCTAATAAAATCATTATCGAATTATGGCTTGTGTGCCTGTTCGAGGGTATTTCCTCCATCGACTATCCACCTTTTCGTTTGTGTGTGTGTGCAGGCCTTTCTTTTTCCGTATATTTTTTTTGGCTTTTTGTTTTTTGTATGCAATTCTTTTGGCCAAGCCCAGCACCACCCATTTTCCCGCCTCTCCTCGTCCCGTCCGGCGGGAAAGAAAACAACAAAAATCGTTACCGAAATGCTTTTGCCAATGTCTGGTTCCGTTTACTTACTACGCTTACGTTTCGTACCTGTCCCAAGACGACGCTGGAGTCCCGCTTCCCAACTGTCCGTCTGTCCGTCAGTCCGCTCGACTGTCCGCGGACATTGAACCCGCTCCTGCTCACCGCGGGCCGTGTTGGGAGATTAGTTTTGGTCGCAGCAGAAACCAAACAGAAACAATTTTCCGTATGTGTGCCATGTGCATTATAAACAATTTGCTGGATTTTATGGTCCATCGATGGGTGGCTGGGGCCAAGTGTGGAAAATGTGTTAATCATTGTCATTGATTGCGATTGTGTAACGAACACACACACACTCCCAGCTTGGACTTTCCCGCTGGAGGCTTGGTGGAAAATGATTAATATACTTTTTCTCTGCATTCGAGCGAACGTTTTGTCCCCCTTTCTTTGGCTGCAAAGCCGTGACTTATTATTGTAAACAATCAAATTAAATCTCAAAGGTGCGACGCGCCAAGATATCGGGATTGAATTGTCGCTCTTTGTTGGGTTGTATAAGCGGCGGAAATCATGACAATTCATTTTGCTTTATGGCATTGTCTCTGTTGTCTATCCGTCTGACGATCATTATACGCTTGAATTCCTGCGCACAATGCCCATGCATATCCATGTACTATATAGATAGTACTGTTTGCAACCTGAAGTTAACCTCATTCTGCAAACAAATCCAAGTATTTCCATATATATTTATAGCCATAAATATATAATATAATGTATAGCCAGTTGCCGAGTCAACATTTATGTAAATGATTGCAGAACATGCGGAACCGAACATTCCCTCAGTAATCAACAGAAATCTGCACACCTCTCCCTCCATCAACCATTAACCTGACCTATTGACAGAACCGAAAAGGAAATCAAACACATTTCCCAAGAATACTCTGTTTCTGACTGCGTCAATGTAATTCCCGTTGACACGGAAAACGGGGGGCAGGAAGAGCGAGGTATACGAAAAACTTTGGCCGAGTTCCCTTAGCAACCCCAAAAAATATATACTATATATAATATATACCATAAGCATTGCTTTTTTCTGATGGATTTTGTACCTCAGAGTGCCTGTCACTCGGTATGCGGTTGCCTCGTTCCCATCGATTTGAAGGTGGAGTGTCCTCTCATCGGAGGAGGAGCTAGCACTGTTGTCGCTCTGTGCTTGTGAAATGAATATATTAGAAAGTCCTTTCGCTTTCGCACAAAAGCCGCAAATTAATCAATACAAATTTATTAATTACATATTTAAAAGCGGTACGAACTCTCTCAGTTGCAACTTTCGCTGCCGGGCGATGAGTGTGTGTACGTACTATGTATATGCCTGCAATTCTGGTATGGTTTGACTTTGGCTTTAACTCTGGCTCTGAAATGCACAATTTACGGAGCCGATCCCAGCTTACGTACGCATATACATAATAATAAAAATGCCAGCATCACTGCTATCGGCATCTACATGCCGGCAACTTTTCCTCTCGAGCACTTTCCTTGGGAAACGCGGGAAACTGTATGCAACTGCCACTGCAAGCCAACCAACCGCACGGCTAATCGATAATTATTCATCGGGCGCAGGCCAACACTATCGATAATTGACAATCTTTTGGCTGCGGCTTAGTTCCGACTCTCCAACTCCAACTCCTCCTCCTGTGCTTTGTCCAATTATGAGTTTTCATCAAAATCTCTGCAACTCTGGGCGTCCATTAATCACACCTCACAGCCACCACCCGCTGCGGTTTGATTTGAGGCTCTGCTCTTCAGTCTTCCTGCACATCATCATCATTACCATCATCATCTTCTTTTTCTTCGGGGGAAAAGCCACTCCCTATCCCGCTTACATCCGACACTTTTCACAACCATGACTGACCAGGAAAACATTTCAATTTAAATACTATTGCTTTGATTGAGAGAGGGGGAAATGGGGGAAAAGTGCGTGGACCTGGTATTTAAATTGTATTTGAATCATGAGTGGAGGAAGTCGTGCTTAATCCGGGGATCTCCGCGGGAGATTACTTCTTGTTTGATTTGGTATTTGTGTTTATAGATAAGCTTTAAAGATATACTTCAAAGGTAATATTATGGATCTTAATTATTATCTGGATATGTAATATAGGTTATAGGTTATAGGTTGGAATCTCTAAAGGTAATAAACTTGGGGATAAGATATTACCTGAATGTATCAGAGAAAATATTCTGTAACAATCTCCTTAAAAATTATTTAAAAAATGCAACAAATTGTACTGAAGAATCTTCTTGAGTCAGAAATGCTTCTTGATTTATGTGGATTAAATTAGCTGACTAAAGATTGATAATATGTAAGAAAAAGGAATAATAGCCCGTTCGAGTTACTAATCTTAATAAAAGTTTAAAGAAGCCTCTTCTTTTGTTAAAGTTTCTGGTATTGTATTGAATATCCCTTTTATTAACGATTAACCTTGATAAGTCTTTATTAATTATTCAGCATTCAATCTTTAAATCATTTAAGCTCAGTAGTTATCCCAATGAAACCTCTTTGGTCTCAACTTTTGCAATCGAGGACCAATTTGAAAGTCTTTCTTTCGTTTACATTAATCATCATTTGATCTCGCTTACAATGTAGATCATATCGCTTTCTGGAATGCCTGACTACACCGATTGATAGAGATATATATATATAGATATAGATATAGATAGTGGCCGGCCACAGCTGATTGGATTCGAAAAGCTTTTGAGTGGAAAGCAACGGTAAACATACCGCGCTTGAGTGATCTCCACCGCCTCACTCCTCAAAACTGCAGGCAGCTCCTCCCCCTTCCTTTTGATCACCGCGGGGAAAGTAGATTCTTCAACATACTGCAAACATAACTCACTGTTTCATTGTGTGTTTGGCTTGATTTGGCTTTGTTTGAAGCGGCGGCAATTATAATGGATTCGACTAATCAACGT